GCTCAAGTCTGACACCCTGACCTCCTGTTGCTCATACCACCTGGATCAATCTTTAGTGCTTGGGGAAGATGATGATAAAGTAAAAAGATCCGTGAGTTTGCAGCAGGCTTGAATTACAACTCTACCACAGAGTTGCCTTAAGGATTGAGGGCATGAGTTTTGGTAACAGACAGGCATACGTTTAAATTCTGTCTCTGACTTGGAACATCCTTCAACCTCTCTCCTAGGGCATTAATGAGGAAATTGTCTGAAGTGCTGGGTCCAGTGTGCCTGGCACATGGATGTGCTAAGTGAGTGCTGGAATTAATGGTGACTATCCTTATATTAGCCCAGTGCTTTTTTTATTTTTTTTTTTTTGAGACAGAGTCTCATTTTGTCACCCTGAGTAGAGTGCTATGGCATAACAGCTCACAGCAACCTCGAACTTTTGGGCTTAAGTGATTCTCCTGCCTCAGCCTCAGACTCCCAAGTAGCTGGGACTCCAAGCGCCCACCACAATGCCCGGCTATCTTTTGTTGAGGTTGTCATCATTGTTTAGCTGGCCTGGACCAGGTTTGAACCTGCCAGCCTCCATGCATGTGGCTGACCCTGAGCCAACCCAACAATTCTTATGTTGTTAGAATTGAGGTAGCCTGAGCTTAACACCCATCCCTAGAACATAACACCAGCATTTTCTTCCTTGCTCCACCCACTTCCCTCCTCCCTTATTACAGGCTGCCTTGTATCACTAATTATTGCCTTTATACTTAACAAATAGTGGCCAGAAGTTGATGCCTGTAATTCACAGTCTTTTACTCACAAGAAATCCCACTTAAATTGACTTAGCCAAAGAGGGATAGTGTATCATAGAATTATCCAGAGGAACAGTGAGGCTAGGTTGGATGTCATCATACCTGGCATGTGTATATTGAAAATAAAAATTATGAAAGAACCTTTCCTTCATTCCTCTTAATTTATAATATGAAGAGCTAGTTTTTAAGGTCCCTGGGGGGGTTTTAACACTGTGACTACATATTCTTTAGTAGACCAGCAGCTCTGTGGGGACAGGGTGTGACTTTGAGCTTGTCAGTGGTGCTTCATGCAGTGCTCCGCACACAGAGCAGGTGCTCAGCAGGTGAACAAGTGGAGAGCAGAGGGCTGGGATGTGCTAGCTGCTGTTCCAGGGGTTTCCAGTCCTTACTGTATGTTTTCTGATCCTGCTCACAAAATAGCTGCTGTTTTACTAAGCACACTGTGCACAGGCCCTGTGCTAAGTGCTTGTGCACCTTCTGGTTGATTCTCACTGCAGTAGGTACTAACAGCACATCCCACAGGCAAGCTGAAGATCCAGGAAGCCATGTTATTTGTCTGGGCTCACACTGTGAGACAGATGTCTGGATTTGAACCAGCTTTTGCTCAGATGTATTGCTTTCCCTGTCTTACTACTCTGGTCTTTCCCTGTCCTGTAGATCAGGCCAGTGGATCCCACTACAGAGATGGCTGTGGGAATCTGCTGAAGATTTCTATAGAAATACCTTTATTTTGAACATTAACTCTCCTCATTATGTATTGATTTCATATTATACATTAGTTGAACAAAGTTTCCATAAAATACAATGACTGATTTTACTAATTAAACTGGAATGCCAAGATGAAAGCAAATCCTGCTAAAAGTGACCTTTTCTTTAACTTTCCTCTCCAGTATACACTGCGCTGTGACATGAAGCGGTCCCTGTTGGCCAAGGACTTGACAAAGACCTGTGAATTCATCGTTCACTCTGCTGTAAGCTGCACCGGGGGCTCTGGTGCTGAATAGCAGGACCTTCCGGCAAAGTCCAGGGTCTTCCCTGTTTGTAGCTAATAAGTTTGCCTCCTGCTGTTTCATGGGTCAAAGACAGTGAGCAGCATGACCATCATTCCCGCTGGCCCAGGGTCCCCCAGCTGGCATCATGTGCCCAAAGTGACGTGGCATCTGTGACACTCTGGTCAGTGCCCTTCTACCTGGCTCCCTTTGTGTCATAGTGGCCATGGCCCTTTGGATCCCAGCTCCTGAGTAAAAAGATGGCCAGGCAGGCTCTAATGAAGCTGGTCTGTATTGATGGACTCTACATAATATGGTCACTGTTACTGATGTTAGAGTAACATTTGTAATGTATGATTCTTGCAGGTAAACACCTGTGTAGCTCAGCAAGAGACAGGACTGGGTTTGACTCTCAGGTGGTCGTGGAGCTCTCTGTGCCTCACTTCCTGATCTGTGAAGTAGGACCTTTAATGAGGTGGGAGGAACACCTCTGGGAGTCATGGTGCCACTTCCAGTGACACCTAATAGACCTCCTAGTGTGAGCTCATAATCTGAGAGAGAGATTTAAGTAAATACCTCCCAGAAACTACTGTTTCTTAGATCTAGTTTTAAAATTCTAAACCTCTAAGTTACCATACCTTTGAGTTCAGAATGTATGTCCCCTCATTTTACAGATGAGGAAACTGTGTCCCAGTGGGATAGGAAACTTTGACAAAGAACACAGTGTTTTTGGCAGAACTGTGTTTGGAACCCAAGGATCCTGCCTCTCTATCCATCCAAGCCCTTCCTGGTTCACTGGGTTGCCGCTTGTGTTTTAAGGGGGTGGGAGGGGAGTCTGTCTGTCCTGTAGAACTCTGGGCCCACACCCTCGTGATTCTGGCTGTACCTCTC